ACTGGGCGGCGACAGCAACAACGACGACGCGGATGACAACGACGATGACGATGACGATGGCGATGACGATGCTGATGGTATGTTGATGGTAATGGGGATGAGGACGAGGAGGAGGATGGTGACAACGATGATGATAATAAGGGTGGTGGTGGTGGTGATGATGATGCTGATGGTGATGCTGATGATGATGATTGCTTGTGTCAAACAGAATCGGGACCTCGGGGGTCAGCGCGGGGTCCTCCTGCCTGCTCCGAGAGCGGATGTGCGCCGCTGAGCACTACGCACTCTGCGCGGGGGCTGAAGGAGTCGCCCAACGCAGGTGCGATCTGCGGGGCGCGCCGCCGCAGACCCTGACAGCCACAAGGGCACCGAACAGCCGAGGACGAGCGGGGAGGCGGGGGGGCGGAGGAAAGCGGTGCAGCCCACGCGGGGCGAGAGAACAGAAGCTGTTCAGGGCACGACGCAAAGAGAACAACGCGCGCCACTCACTCACGTCGACGCTCCAGCTCTGAGTAGGCGGAACGACGACAGTCGTGGTATCAAAATCCTAATCCAGTGGTCGTAAGACATGGCTGCATGTCGAACCGTAGGACCGTCAAACAAGTACTGACCCACACCGTGAACTTTCGCTTGAGACGTGCTGCGCTGAAACAGCTCGCCACGCTGACGAAACTACCCACTGAAAAAAAACCATCAATGCCATTCACGACGGCGCTGAATCTAAATCAGTCCACAGTCCACGCTGTGGACGTCGGTGGCTGGTCTTACGCAATCAGGTTTTGCCTCGGGCCACTCCGTCCACTCCTGGAGCTCCCCCTCTGTGTATCCCGCCGATGCCGCGCCTCGATGGGCCACCTACCTGGCGCAGCCCGTGGATCAGCGCGCTCCTCCTGTCGCCCGGCATATGCAGTGCCGGCGCGATCTTCATCTGGTCGTCCAGTACCCTTTTCTGGAAGCGGCGCGCGCGCGCGCGAGCTGCTCCGCGCCCTCGGCCTTCTCGCGCACGTTGATGCCCTCGGAGAGATCGAAGATCTTCTTCTGGTTTTCGCCGCCGCAAGCCTCCAGCGCGGCGGCCGCTCGCCGTCATGGCGCGATGCGGCTCGAGCGGTTCCAGCGCGGGTTCGTCAATCTTCGCCTTGCGGTAAGAGTCCACGCGTTGCGCGAAGGCCGACTGCTCCTCCTGCATCACCAGCGGCAGCCCGCGGCACTCTGGGGAGACGCATGCGTCGAGCAGGGTCCCCTCCATCATGCGAACCTACTGAGCGTTGCTCAAAGTCCGTTTGAACCTGAGAACCAAATGCCCCCGAAGTCCTTTGCCCTTGACCCGCGCGCCTTTCGCCCACATCTGCCCGCCCTGGTAGCTTCACCGAAGGCCACAATGGGACCGTCCGCAAGCGTCCCGAAACACCCAATTTCGCATTTTCACCCACCCAGTTGACCGTTTCGTGGTCCGATAGGGAGCTCCACCGAAGGCCTCAGTGCCACCGTCCGCATGCGTCGCGCAAACCCAATGTGGCATTTTCACCCACCTGGCACAACCTTTCGTGGCCCAATGGGAGCTCCACCGAAGTCACCAATAAGACCGGACCGTCCGCATGCGCCCCGGAAGCTTAATTTGGCATTTTCACCCACCCAATGCGCGCTTCGTGGCCCCATCGGGCGGAGCAAATCCATGCGCGTGACTATTCGTCTAAATATTCGAGGCCTGCGCGCGCTCGCCCAGGGCGACTTCCTCTTCGTCGGGCCTGGCGGGTTCTCGAAATCCACCGGGCCAAGAGCGGCGAGAGACTCGGCCCTGCCGCCTGGGCCCCTGGCTTGCTGGGGGTGCAGGGGGTTCGTCGCGGTGGGAAATACTGCCGTCGGCATGCTCAAACAAGGTGCAAATGGCGTCGCTTCATTTAGTGCAAGTGCTTGCGCGTCTCGAAGAAATCATCTTGGACCGCGAAAAAGGCCCTGGATGCCAATTGTGAGCGAACTGCCTCCAGGGCGAGGAGGAAGAAGGATGTGCTCGCCATGCCGATGGGCCACGGCAGACTTCGGTAGCGCATGGTTGTCCGGTGCTGCCGTGGCCGAGAAACCACCTCCGCATCCTGGTTGCGAGAGACCTCAGGCCATTCTGCGCGCGATGGTTGGCAAGAAGGCAGTTTGCGGTGGCCTCGATCGCGCGCGCCGATGCCCCTGCGCGCCCGACGCCTCGCAGCTGCGCGCGCGTCTGCAGACTGTCCGTGAGCTTGACCTTCACGAATCTGCTGTTCGAGATCTCGATCGGCCTGTGCCTGAATCCTTTCTATATGCGAGCGCAATGCCTTCGTGGGCGCCCTGGCCTCGTCGCGCGCTGCGTTTGGGGCGTTGGCGCGAGAGGCTAAGCGCTCGGCGATGGCCAAATCCTTAAACAAGTTGAGTCTCCGCCTCGTCCCTTCTCTGTGACAAGGTGGTCACTAGGAAGCCCCCAAAGAGCAACTTGCCTACTCGCCGCGACGAGGAGGTGCGCGTGACTGCCTGGGTTCGGGTCGGTGCGCACTTCCTAAAAGTGGACCTGGTACTGCTCGGGTGAGTCGCGTAGATCGCGTAAGAGGGACTCTCGCCCACGTCCTTGTTGCGGGCAGTCCATAATTCTGTGCCGCCTCCAGCAGATGGGCGCAGTATGGCAGTGTCCAGGGCAACGCAAGAGGAAACGAACTGCGATCGGGATCTGATCCAAGAGGTACTTGCTTTTCCCCGTGCGCCTCGCTGTGGTGAGCCACTTCATGCACGACGAATCCGCCATGAGCGCGGACGGGGCGCATATGAATTCGATGGTGGGAGTCGCCGTGGCCAATGAACGTGGGGTCCACATTCCTGTGGGTATTGATTGCGCTCGTGCCATGGTCTAGCATGAGTTCGTGTAGCAGCTTACCGTTCTCATTGTCGTGCCCGTTACCATGGGTTCCTCATCCCCGGGTTGGCGTCCGCCAGTACCAATGGAACGTAGAGGAATGAACAGCTCCTGGATTGAGAGTCCAACCAGTGCCCCAGCACCGTCGTACATCATGTGCGCCAATTCGGCCTGGCTTTCGCAGTGCGGGGCCGCGGCTCGAAGTAGTGCAATCACACGCAGACGAAGAAGGCCCTTGTCGATGTCGATCATGCAGCCTCTGCCAGCGTTGATGCGAGGTGGGACCTCGATCGTCGTGTTGGACGACGTGCGCAACAGCTCGCCCAAAATGGTGCTACAACCCGCACGATTGTTGGTACATGCTGCAAGTTGCCACGGGAAGTGAATGATGTTGTGCTACGGCGCCTGTACTCGATTGTGAGCAGGGCGTGTGTCTCCTTTCGCCAATGCCTGGGGCCGCCATCGACATGTCCCCGTCAAGCCCCCCAACCGTCACGCTACGATACGCCACACTCATTTCCTGAAGGCGTGACGGTTGGAGGCTGCTCACGCTGCGTGCCAGCATTGGGAAGGCACGAAGGAGACCGCACGCTCGGCCCATCGGCGCGCAGACCCACGGCCCCACGACTCAAACGGTGGCTTATGGCGGGCGCGAGCAAGGGGGGCTCGTGCAGGTGCGCGGGAGTGCGCCGCTCCTGGAAAAAATGCCAGTGTGGCTTGGATGATTGTGATGATGATGGTGATGACGATGCTGATGATGATGACGACGACGGTGAGGGCGGTTCCTTTTTCCCTACCTAGGCTCTGCCTAGAAAGGTTCTTACCCTGTTCTCTTAAAGGGGCCGGGCAGTTGGAAAACGCCCCGGGCGGCTCCCCCGGCATCCGCCCCGCGGTTCCCCCAGGTACGTCCCCTTAGCTTAGCGTTGCTTATCTCATCTTAGCTTAGCTTATGCCATCTCAGCTTAGCTTAGCTTCATATTAGCTCAGGTTTATCTTAGCTTAGCTTACCTTCATCTTAGCTTCGCCAAGCTTTAGCAAAGCAGAGCACAACATAGCATAGCAGAACGTAGCATAGCATAGCGCAGCACAGCACAGCATGGCCAAGCATAGCATAGCATAGTAAAGTATAGCGTAGCACAGCACAGCACAGCACAACACAGCACAGCACAGCATAGCATAGCTTAGCATAGCACAGCGTGACATAGCATAGCATAGCATAGCTGAGCATAGCTTAGCATAGCATAGCATGGCATAGCGCAGCATAACATAACATAGCATAGTATAGCATAGCGCAGCATAGCATGGCATAGCATAGCATAGCAACTAGTGCTGCTTTCCTGGGGGCTCCAACTTCTAGGTAGGGTCGCACTGGGGTAATTCAACATGGGGCTATCACCCCAGTTTCTTCAAACTTGGCGACCAGATGTTTAATCAGGTGCAGCATATGCGCGGACGGAGGGCGGCCCCTGTACAAATGGGGCTCTCGAGCGAGCCTCCATCATATGGAACGGCCATGAGTGTAAACGAGTGCAGCAGTGATCGGCGGTGGACAAACCTCCCTTTAGTAAACCACCCTTGAAGGAAAACGGCCTAGGACCGAAATCGACGGACCTGGACCCGCAAAAATGACGGCCGCGACACCCTCTCGCGAAACGGAAACGGTCAATTCGCTAATCGACGTGCTGCCAAGGTAGGAGGCCTATCAACCTCCGAAATGAGACGGATGGGGAGTTGCTCCTTTACAAAACGAGGCTGTCGCCGGACACCTGGGTTGGAACGTTGCACCCCGACCTTATCGCATCCCCTAGCACTCGCCAGCAGGATTCTCGCTGGAGCAGCAGGCGCACGGGGTGCATATTTTCAAGGGGGCGCATCTTGCAGCGGCAGGGGAGGCTTGCGGACAATTCTTATGAGGAGGGAACTTCGGACTTCGAACAGCACCGTTACACATCTCGGGCTTGCTGTGGTCCCAATCCTCTTCCTGCTGCTCTCCCTTCTCTTCCTCCTCTCGCCCATCATCCTTCCTGCTCTTTGTGCTGCTGCTGTTCAGCCTCCTCCCCTTCCTCCTTGTTCCTGCTACTCCGCCTCCTCCATCTCCTCCTCCCTTCGGCGCTCCCGTATTTGCCTTCGTCGGCTCTGGGCTGCACTGCGGGGTGAACATGTCCTGGGCACGAGAGGACAAGAGCAACGGAAAATAAGGCATGCCCTGGATCTGGATCTCCGACGCCCTGAAAAACATGACAGCCAGGGCTTCCGACTGTCGACCTGCGGGGCTCATAAAAAGGAGCCCGCGGCGCGAAACCCATGCGAATGCTTGGGTCCAGAGATCTGGGCCCGGTGCAGGGGAACAGCATACGACATCGGATGTGCCCCTACCCCTTCCTCCAAGCTCCAAGCACGGCAGTGGGAAGAAGTGGAGGAGAAAAGATGGGAGGGCAAAGGGCAAAATTATCTGCGCATGTTGACTAGACATTTTGGCTGGTATGTGTGAAGGGCGCAGAGAGAGTGCGAACACATACGTATGTGCGTAGGCCAGGGCGCTGCGACGACGCATACGCGGCATGCCACTACGCCTTTCAAGGTTGATGCCCGCCTGGTCTACCCGTGAGTGATTTTCGGACCAGCTCGTTCCATCTCTTGCTTGCCGCGTCCGCCAACATTTCTTTTCTAACTTTACTGCTCGCCCGTTCTGCCTCCATCACCTGTCCTCGCTTTTTGGCCCTCGCTCCTCTCACCTGCCTACTACTGCTACCGATATCACTCCTCCCTTTTGGCTGCCTGATTTCCTCTGCCATTTCTATCTCTATTTATCCCTGCCCCCTCTCTGCCTCTCCCCGTCTTGACTAACAATGTTTATGGATGTTGCCCTTCGCTTCTCAGTGATTCCACCTCCTCTTGAGTGATGCGCGTAACGCGTAAGTTCTAGATGAATGGGTTCCCGTTGTCCCATTACTAGTCAACATTTGTCCCACGCCCCTCTCGGTCTGAAGGCGATTTAAAGGGCGGTCCT